TGAAAGTAGCTATTCCATTTTCTGAAAGACAAAAATATAGTGAAGGAGGACAAATCAGCAGTTACTAGGGTTATGGATGGAGAGAGGATGTTGTTGTGACTAGCACAAAGTTTTGCGAGTGATACCATGAAACAATGTGTATCTTAATTGTGAAAGTGGTTAAATGAATGTATTCATGTATTAAAATTCATAAAACTGTACACCAAAATTGCCAATTTTAGAATATGTTATTTTAATAAATAAAAAATGAAAATTTAAGGATAGGAATATTAATGTTCATGTATTCTTACTTGAGTGAATATAACTCTGGAAAGCTAAAATGTAAATTTTTAAGGATGTAAAAAAGAAAAGGAAGGGTGGAAGGGATAGAGAAACCAAACTTCACTATGAATATGTTGTTTTATGTTGTAACCTTCTGAACATTTTACATAAAACAAAGTACATAAAATCAAAATGGAAAAAAAATCCCAAAAGGAGAAAGAAAAAAATTGAAATTAACTATAGTAGTTTTTTATTGCCACCATAATAAATGACCATTAAATTAGTGGCTTAAAACAATTCAGATTTATTATCTTAACAGTTCTGTAGGTTAGAAGTCCAGTATGTGTGTCACTGGACTAAAACCAAGTTGCCCAAGGGGAGAATCTATTTTCTTGCTCATCGAGCTTTATGGCAAAATTTAGTTTCTGCTGGTTGCGTGATTGAAGTCCTTGTTTTCTTGATGACTGTAAACTTAGGTTTGTTCATATATTCTACAGACTTCTGCATGCCCTGACTCATGTCCTCCTTCTTCTCTCTTCAAAGATAACAGTAGCAGATCAAGTCCTTGTCATGTGTCATTTCTCTGTCTTCTATTTCATCAGTCTGACCCAACTAAAAATGTTCTATTGTTAAGGCACTATATGGTCTATCTGAATGATCCAGAATATTGTCTTCTGCAGCATCTCTTTTGTCATGGAAGGTAACATGGTCGCAGACAAGTTTTTATAGAACAGAGCACAGACATCTTTGGAGTCCATTTTTCTATATGCCCATGAAATTTTAATTTAACCTTACACACACACACACACACACACACACACACACACACACACACACAAAGTATTGCAAGTGATTTTATATTAGGATAATGCAATTATGTTAGTGTTGACAATACCCAAAATTGTCAACATAACAAAAAAACCTTGAATGTAAATGAAATAACTGAAATGTAAATTTGTTTTGGAAATGTCACGATGAGCCCATAATGTGTTTTCTCTTACCAAAAAAAAAAAAAAATAATGGACTAATAATTCTCATTTCTACTCAACAAACAGACCTAGAAACAATGACTAAAGCCTTTACGATGAGCACTTTTAGCATCAGGTGTAATCTATAACTAAAAGGAAACAGGGCTCTTTGACGGGGGATGTTATTTATCCCAAAATTGGAACAAGAGTTTTATAGGGTGAGCCTGTAATACCTTGTCATGCAGAGAACAGTCGAGATTACAAAGACTACTAAGGTCATGTCAGACTGACCTAAACATCAATAAAAGTAATAATTTCAGTGATTTGAAGTATATCAAATATGTCAGAATTCATTAATTGTTCCTCTTTGTAAGATGCTAGGGAAGATGGGAAATGGTGATATTTTCAGTAGGCCTAGAGAAAAATAAAGTGGAATGCAGGTCTCCTAAGTTGGCAAGAACTTGAGAATTTAATATCTTACTATTCTGAAAAGTAGCAAATAATAATGATACTCTTTTTTTAACCTCCAGTTCCTACTTGAACAACATCTCATGAAAATCAAATAATTGATGAAGGAAAGTTTAAGTTTCTCTAAAGAAGTGTTCCAAATAAAAGTGAAGGATAAATGATTCTGAACATCATATTTTGCCAACATCTAATAGAATAATGATTTTAGGCAATGCTTATCAAGTCCATCAATATATAAAAAGGAAGATATGTAGATGTTATGTGCCACCTTGTGGAAATACATGACTGTACCAATGAGATGTTCTTGTTAAAATGAACCCTAAGCAATATCAAGATGCAGGTTGATTCCCAAATGGCCAATAAACAGATGATAAATTTCTTAATCTAAAGAGCCGTAGAAAAATTTTAAATAAACCTAAATGTGATAGTAGTAGAAACATTCAGTCCTGGGTCAAAGTAAAAAGGCTAATAATCTGATAATATGATTTTTAGGCAAGAATGAGAATTAATTGGACTGCTCAATAAACTGTTGGTGGGAATAAAAATTGGTGTAACTACTTTGAAAAATGTTTGGAGATCACCACTAAAGCTGAAAACTCACTCTATGACCTAGCACTTTGACTCCTAGGAATATAGCCAACATAAATATGGAAATGTTTGAAATAAAAGATATGTTTTAATTTTTTCAATGTTTATTTATTTTTGAGAGGGAGAGAAAGAGCATGAGCAATGGAGGGGCAGAGAGAAGGAAACACAGATCTCAAGCAGGCTCCAGGCTCTGAGCTGTCAGTACAGAGCCCAATGCAAATTCATGAACCAAGAGATCATGACCTGAGCTGAAGTCAGACACTTAACCGAATGAGTCACCCAGGCACCCCTGAAACAAAAGATATATTAATGTATTTTCTTAGTAGGAATATTTATAATAGTGAAGTCTTGGAAACAACAAAAGGCCTATCAATATTAGACTAATAGATAAATGGATAAATTATAATATGTGTTTTTTCAGTGGAATACTATTTCAAAATGAGACTAAACAAGACCTGTGCACAACAAAATGTATAAATCACATGAACCTGGTTTGGGGTGAAATAAACAGATACAGAAAAGTATCTACTGTGTGATGCCATGAAGATAAATTTAAAATTAAAATACAGGGGGTGCACATCCATGGCATTACAGGTCAGGAAGGTGGTTACCTTTGGAGATGAGAAGAGCTGTCACTAAGAGAGCTGTAAGGGGGCTTCTAGGGATGGGGAAATGTGTTTCTTGATCAAAATAGTGGTTTCATAGGTGTGTTTAATTTGCAAAAAAAAAAAAAAGTAAGCAACGTATGCTCTTCAGATGTGAATGCTTTTCTGAATTAATTTTATATTATAATAAAATTTATTTAAAAATTTTATTTTAAAACTCCTTCACATCAGCCCAAGTCTTGTGGAATTCTGAGAGGTTTCAAGACCCTTTGTCTGATTGTAAAAGCTTGGGGATAGGGCCAAATATAAAATAAGTAACAAGACACATACTTAAATTCAATGTTTATTCCTTATTTTGACTCTGATTCAAATAAGAATTGTTTTCATTAAAAGCTAAGAAATTTTTAATTTTGTACAGTAATTGTACTATAGTATACATTAAGAAGTTTTCAGCTTTGTATGATAATTATACTATGGTATACATTAATAAATGAGTTCTTATGTTTTAGAGGTTTATTTATATTGACATATTATGAATAAACTTATATAATGTATGGAATTTGCTTCAGAATAATCCAGTGTATATGTCCACGAGAGGAGGAGAAAGCTATGTGGTTATAGGTAAGAGAAGTTTGGCCATGAGCTGATAATTGTTGAATCTGTGGGTTCATTATATTCATAATAGTACGTTTTAAGATGTAATTGAATATAACTGTAGTTTTCAGTTAAAAGCTTCTTTAATAACCTGTAAAATATTAAGGCATAATAGGAGAATATTACATAAAATTAATGGAAATAGCCTTATAAAGTCTGAATACAATATAAATAATTTCTTTGTTTAAAATAGACCACTTGAAGGTATTAATAAGTTTTTTTCCCCAAATGTACCTGTATTTTCTTCCAGAAAATTGACACTTCCAAATAGCTTATTTTTTGATTATCTACCTTATTTCTAACTTCAAATATTCAAAAATATTGAAGATTTTGGACACTAACAATATACTGTCTCTTAAGGACAAATTAGTTACTCAAGCAGGCTTTTTAGTTTATGTTAACTCCTTTTACATGCATATCCTCCTGGATATTCTCATATATTAACTGAGAGATATCAGCATTCTAAAGACTAAAACTTTTATGAGGTTTTTAATTTAATGTTACTGAAAGCTCAGTAGTCACTGGTCATGCATTGAAGTAAAATAGAAAGATATCAGTAACCTTTCAATGACAGCTTCATGGAAGGATATGAAGACAGCTGTAGGTTATTTTCTTGCATAAAAGAGCTTCCTCATTTAATATGAATTCATAAAGGATTAGCAGCAAAATTTCAATAAAACATTTAATGTCAAACTTTTTAGAGTAACACCAGTGTTTTATAACTTTTCATTGCATTTTGCCACTGAAGTTCTTGAAGCTTTATTCAGATTTTTGTAAAGTAACCTAAAATCCTTTATGTTAGATTAACACATTTATAATCATTCTATTGTTTTACAAGTGAAGCAAGGCTATAAAACTTGCTCCAAAAGGCAGAAGATTGTCAGAAGACAGTAATGTGACATTTAACAACCATATTTTCTAGTCATCAACTTCTTATTTGATAGAGTCCATAGCACAGTTTTAAATTTCCCATCAGTTCAAATACCACTTAAAAGTTGGAGGGGGAAAAAAATACCTGCTGTTGCAAAGAAGTTTATTCTTTTTTCCTTGTGAATAATTCTCTGAAAGATATCAGGTGATAGTTGCACCATTTCATGTTAAAGTTGGCTAATATGAATTAACTGGTTGTCTAACCAGTTAACTTGAGATCCAGTATACTTTCTTTTGCATTTTTTTCCTGAAAAACACCTTGGTTTTCTGTTAACTGAAGTTAAATACGGTGAACATGCATGTTGGTTACATGGATAGATCCTCCTGCTAAAAAAGTAAAATTACCAGTTTTATTATAAACATTCAAGTACTAGTTTAAATACTATATTTCTCTGACAGTGAGACTCAAATATATACCTTTAAAACCATATAATTTCAGTTATCTCATGTTTAATAGTTTGAAAGAGACCAGAAAATTCAGTAGTATATCTCTGCTTATTAGTAATTTGTAACCCTGGTACCCTAGGATTGTTCTGCCTATCCTAAAAGGAAGAAAGGAGTTGAAAATCATGCAGACAGACTCTAAAAGTAAGTACTAGACCTGAAGTTTGTAGACATTGCTTCTGCTTACATTCCACATAAAAATATAGTCATATATAACTGCAGCAGAGGCTGAAATTTTTAGTCCAGCTGGGTAACACTGTGGGCAGCTGTATATCTATTATTAAGATAAAGAGAACCAAACTTTTTTGTTGTTGAGAACTCCCCGAAAGTTACTAACTAAAAACAAAGGTTCAGTATATTTGAATAAGAGAAATGATGAAGTAGGAGAAAGCCAAAGAAACAGTTACCTGTTGTTGCCTGGTTTACTGGGGATACCTGGGCCCTCAGGACTTGACCTGACCCATCTAAAAGAGTCTGCAGAAGTCCCTTGGTGCCTCACAAGAATGAATTCAAGGACAGACTAGACATAGCAGATGAGTGGTACAAGCAGAAAGTTTATTTATGTGAATGTACATTCTTAGAAGAAGACCAGACAGACTTGAGGGAACAATTGCCTGAAATTCCTTGTTTCCAAGCTTTTATTGTATTTTGAATAATTAGGAGAGAAGTATTCATTGAGTAGGTGGGATCTTTTTTGGTAATGGCATGCCTTTTCCAGGAATTCAGGTACAACCCCTTTCCTTATTTGGATTAATCAGAATTGTCATGTTGATTTTAGAGGCAGAGATCCTCCAAAACTGCAATGTAAATGATATGATAATGGGGGAAGGATCGTTTGAGGATACACATGACCTTAGTCACCTGTTGGCCCCAGAGATTTCCCAACCTCACCAGTTTGCCTCACTCTCCTTTGATAAGTAATAGGTATATTCCGGTTCCATCACTGCTCATTACTATTTAACTGCCTACTCTAACACTATGAGAATACCTTTTTACATACATAGGGCTTTTAGTTCAAGTCCCTGATACTAATAATGAATGGCATTGGTTAAATTACACTTTCCAAAAACAACTCCTAACTATAAAGGATAACTTGTTAACTTTGTCCATAGTAAAATTATAAATCTCCCTTTATCAAAAGACAGAGTAAAAATAAGGCATAGATAACCAACATATATAACCAATACACATAATCAGAAAGGACTAGTGTTCTAGATCATTCAATATAGATCAATGGATTGATAGATGGACAAAATTTTAATAAGAAAAAAGATATATTAATCAAACTGAAAGTGAATAAAAAACTTGTATCATCTTGAAAGGAAATCTTTTACAATCATTAGTTAGCAAATGGTTTCTCATTACTGGAATCCACTTTGCCTGACACCAGAATGCTTCCTCTTTTCCCTCTATGATTTCCAACGGGCCAATAAACCAATGCAAAGGAGCCAACACTATAAAAAATTAAGTAAATGCAATATAAAACCAAAGCAGGTTGTAATTACATATCAACCAGATTGGCAAAGATTTAAAATTTTGACCACACCTAATGTTGACAAAGATATAAACCAATAAAATGCTTTCTACAATGCTGTTGGGAGTATATTTGAAAAACAGTTTGGGTTTATCTAGAAAAGTTTTGTATTATATATGAGTTACTTATATACCCTAGAGAAATCCTTGCACATTTACATTGAATGATAAATACAAATGTTTATAATGGTATTACACTAAATAGTCAAAAATAGGAAGCTTTGCAAAAGTTTTTAATATAGCCTATTTCTATGAAACACCTTAATAAACATATCAACTGTCCTTATAAATATAATTTTGGCTGGAACAGTACTAAAAATAAAAGAGCAATTGAGAGTTGAAAAAATTAATTTCCTGTATGAGTTAGATGATTTGAAATCACTAAAACATTATCAATTAAAAAGAAGGAAAGTGAAATATACCACTTCTGGATGCAAAATCTATTACATAGTCCTAGTGTAGTCTTGACTTATAGGTACCTACATAATATGAAAAAAAGTCCTAAGTTTTGGTGTACTACAAGTGTAATATATGCTAACGTACTATGATTTCCAGTAAGACCTAAGTAATAAAATGTAAGGCTCTTTTAGTACAAGCAAACATTCTCAAATCAAGGAAGATAACAGCCCTGGTTTTCTCTCCACTGGTTAGTCCATAGTTGGAATAGGCATCATAGGCTAGAGAAGTAATCTGCTTTCTTGAGGTAGACTAAGTAACACAAATACATGAAGTGACTAAAGTTATTAAAACTTACACGTTCTATATCAAGAAAGCAGATTTTTTTTTTTTTTTTTGGTCAGTATGAGAGATTGAACAATTAGAATATGCTACTGATAAAAGCACAGGTGGGTTTTTTTTTTTTTTCATTTTGTTTTGTTGCTTGTTTTTTGTTTTTTTTTTAACCCCTGGAAGAAATATTTCAGTGAGTGTGAGATGATCAGCTCTGATGCAGGTTTCAGCACTGGGGAGAAGGTTTGATTGACTTTTGTATGAATTATCTTTGCCTTTAAAATTTTATCATTTGATCTTCCAAGAAACAAAGTTTTATAAAAATCTTCTTTTTAGGTATAATGTCATCTTTTAAAAAATGTATATGATTGTTGTGTTCAAAAGAAATGGTATTTTTAAAAAGAAAAAGAACTTTACTCTCATATATTAATTAGCATTCTAGTTCCCATATTAGATAGATGAAAAATTGACGTTTTTAAGCTCTTAAATTCATTCCAAGTTTCTAGATAAAATCTTTACACATGTGTATTCATTTCTTCTCTATACTATGGACTTTTGGAAAACAATTTATTCTGCTTGTATTTAAGTGTAAAGTACAAAACTAGTCATCTAAATTTTGATTTTTAGATTTCACTTGCTGTTCTGCCTGTGGGTAAGCCAATTGCTAAGGCTTTATCCCAAGTGATTCAAATTGTATACTAGTGATAACTGTGCCTAAGTGCACTTAATTTAAGTGGAATCTTTAGATGCTTTCCTTCTATACCAAATATAATTGTGATTTAATGTTAATGAGTTGAAATTTAGGATCATGGCCTTAAGAATGTTGTTGTGGTCATTTCATTTCTACATTTTGAAGTACTAATTTTAATTTATGTGTAAGGGTTATTTTCCTAATGGAGATGTAGACTTTATGTCATTTGTAAATTGAAACAATTGTATGAAAGCAAATCGCACAAAGCATGATCACATAGACTTTTTCAACCCTCAACCCTTGTTTCCTGTTTATTCTTAAAATTTATAATAATTTTTAATATAAAATAGCCCAGTGAACACTTACAGTTGCAGGCATGCATGTATCTAAGAAATTTACATGTCTTGCCTCAGTTAAACCTTCTAAAAATCATGGGAAGAATAAATAGATTTTTCTGTTCTAGGACTTTATTGCACCAAGTTTGTTTGGATTATAGATCCAGGTTGGCTTGTTTGTTTGTTTATTCCGGTAACAAAAACCAACGTGAAGTTTCAGGTTTCGAGTGGAGTTAGACAATGTTATAATGTTATAATACCATAAAAGCTTCTCAATTTACGGCGCATGGAGGGGTGGGTGTAGTAGGATAGAAATAATGCATTTACTATTGTTAAAATGCTTGTAGTTCTGCATGATGCATTCTTTGGGGCTACACTCCCTTGGAGGGCCACATGAATGAAGAAGAAACATTTAGGCTCATCGTAGCTTTATAAATAGGGGAGTCTCCTGCTACTGTAGTGCCTCTAGTATGCTAGGCACAGGTAATGTAAACATGCTCTAAACAGGTTGCCCTTCATTATAGGACAGATTCATACCCTAAAAAGAAGGTGAATAAATTCTGGACTGCAAAGGTGAGTAGAGGGCAAGAAAGCATGAAAATGTAGAGATTTAAGGGCCTGAATAATGTCCAAGAATGCAACTGCAAGTGAATTAATTTACAGTTTGTCAAAATAAGAGTGAAAGGTCAGTTTACAATCCCAATTTTTCTGTAAAATAAAAAGTTGGATGTATTTTAAGAAAATGTTCTAACTTAAGGCAATTTCCTCTCAGAGTTGTTTTTAGTAAATCCTACTGCCTATTGACCAGAGATTTACAGGTGCTCTGTGAAGGGGAATTTGTACTGCCACACATTAACAGAAGGTGGAGAGTAAAGCATAGTCAAAGTCCTAACTTCTTGCCTTTATGGTATTGAAAGTCTTTTAAAGCCATTTTAAATTTGCTTCATTTAATTCTCCTGTTAATTTAAAAGAACATAAAACCTAGTAATTTTATTGTCATACTTTATTTTGCCCTCTGGGGACCTCCATTTTAATTCATTTCATGGTAGTTTTAGGCAGGCAAACCTAGGTTCCTCACACTGCACCTCAATGATCCTACCAATCACTATGTCACTAACTAACATAGGGATACCTTGTCTTCCCTTATTTTATGTGTGCTCTCTCTTCTTTAGATGCACAATGAATACAAAATAAAGTTCTTTTCAAGATGAGATACAAAATGCAGTGTGTAAGAGTTCTTCCTTTTTTAGGCCTATTGTGAATTATCTATAGTGGGAAGGGCTGGATTTGGGGAGAGGACTGATGGAGGAAAGGATAAGTCATATGGTCCTTAATTGCTTCTCTGCGTTCCAAGTGGGATGGAAGCTATATGAGACTTACAGTTAATTTCCAAGGAGAATTTTTTTGCTAATAAATGGGTGGCTGCTGTGGAACCTGGCCATTTGTAAGCAGTATCCTGAGTGCTTCAAGTCATACTGTGAAGACCTGAAACTCTGGAACCCATTCTTTATGCTGGAATCCTGATTGCTGAGAATCAGTCTGGTACAATTGGTTACTTCCTTTTCTAACAATGATTCTTAAAAGTTAATTTTTGAAAGTGCCAATACGTCTTCTTAATCTAGGAAATTTATAGTCCTCCAATAGAAAATATGTATCAGAGGATTCATAGTATTCACAGTTCTTATAAATTGTGTAATGAGACACTCAGGAAATTTATGGGTATTTTCTTATTGATTCCTCACAGTAAAGGTATTATTTTTCCATTTCACAGATAAGAAAATAGCATGGGAATTTGGGGCTGTCAGAGATCTTCCTAAGTAATCCCTAGCAACATGCGATCTATCCTACAAATAAACCCAAGACTACACTGTTACCTGCTCCAACAGTGATCTTACAGGGGAGGCTACCCCTGAGTTAAACTGGAACTACCTGTTTCCTCATGCAGTTTCTAATCTTCTGAAATTTTGTCTGCTATACTTTGCACAGACAGCATTTAAATCTGATAAAATATAATGAAGTATTTTAGTGAAGTTTACCACAGATAAAAGTTTTGTAATTATGCTGATTGATTTCTGCACTTGGTCCATCCCTACAGTTTACACATAGATAAATGGACTCATCTACAAATGTAATCAGGTCATAAGCTTATTTAAGGAAAAAACATAATTAATTACCGATGAATAACAGTAAATGCCTGATAACCCTGCATTTTTTCTTTTACATTGTTTGCCTTATTGAAATTTTTAAAATATTTCACCCTTATTAGCATATTTTGAATTGTTCATTTCTAGGTAACATGCTACAGATTTTTAAAGAAATGTACTTGTAGAAATTTGAAGTTATGGGTTACATTCATTGTTTAGAATATAATCAGTACTCAAAATGAATATAATATCCAGTAACAGTCTATGGTACGACTAAATATGGGCAATAAGTGAAAAATCTAAATCTGAATTATTACATGCAACATGACACATATCTTACAAAGTAAAAGAATCATTATTATATATACTCTTTAGGAGATGTTTCTGTGTTCTTATGTTATAATACATATAAATTGATTATATACAAATTTTTACTTATATAAAATAAATAAAAAGAGCATTTTATACAGACCAATCACTAGTGTACCATGAGGCAATATTTATGATTAACCTATTTGTACCTGGCAGCTTAACTGAAAATAAGTACACAAATGTAGATATGATATTAATTTCTAACTCTGCCATTTGCTACCTAGGTGTTTGTTGCAAGTTACTTAATA